GCTGGGCGCCCATCTTTCCAACAGCAAGGACAGTGTCTGAGCCCCGATATGGAACCCCCCGTGGGTTCCCTCCGGGAAGCAGGCAGAGCACACCACCTGCCTTCCGTCAAGAGCCAGTCCTTGCAGGGATGGGTCCTCTCAGGGTCCTCCCACCAGCATGCTACCCTTGGCCCCCTTCACTGCCTTGGGATTCCACAAATGATACTTGCAATCCAGGGCCTCGTTTCGGAGGAAACCCAGCGTGGTGAGAAGCTTATGTGCATCAGTTCCGCTGGTCTCACTGCGTGCCCTTCGCCCAGAAGCAGGCAGCCGGGCAGACTGATGGAATGGCTCCACTGGGGAGACTGCACCCCTGAACGCTGAGGCGCAGGCTTGTGGGAAGCAGAACAGACTCCTAACCCGGGACCGACCAAGGAGGCCGTTTCCCCACCGCCAGCATGCAGAAGTGGAGGTAGCCACGCCTGTGAGAGGCCTTCTGTGGACGGACGGACGCCACTCACGGCCTTGCCTCACCCCCACAGTCCTTCCGCAGAGGAGCTGTGATGGCTAATCAGCTACTGAAGGATTTTTCTTTCCCATTCTGGTACGGTGGGGTCACAGGAGTGGCAGTCCTGCCGGCCGGTCCTCAGGGGAATGTGGGTCTGCTTCCCCCACTCAGGAGCAGAGACGCCCTCCTGCCATGGGGGACCTCTTGCTGCAGAGCTGACCACTGGACAAGGGAGCTACGCTGGCCAGGGATCTCTGAGGAGGAATCTCTTTGGAGAGATCTCTGCAGGAAGGTGGGAATGCTGCCTCAGGAGGTGGGGAGGAAGCACTACGTCAAAACCCAGGGATTCTGGGGCACCACTTAATATTCTCACATCCCCTAATAAAGCTCAGTGGAAAATTAGGGCAGCTCCCACAGACAGAACCATGAGGCCCAGAGCTGGCCTGAGTGAGGTCTCAGGTCGAGGTGTCTGGTAGAGACCCCAGCCTAGGTGTAGCAGAGTGGGGAGTGCATGGGACGTGTAGGGAGACTGAAGCTGTTGTGGGCTGGTGTCCCCCCAAATTCATATGTCGAAGGCCTAACCCCCAGGACCTCAGAATGGGGCCTTGTTTGGAAATAGGGTCATTGCAGATGTGATTCATTAAGTTAGGATGAGTCATCCCGGGAGTGCAGGCCCCTATTCCCGTGTGACTGTGTCCTTATAAAGACACAGCTCCCTGGAAGAACGCCATGTGAAGATTTGGGCAGAGATTGGGGTGCTGCCTCCACCAGCCAAGGAATAGCAAAGATGGCCAGCAAACCCCTAGAGGGTGGAGGAGAGGCCAGCTTCCCTGCCGCTGCCCCAGAAGGAACCAGCCGCATTGATAGCTGGAGCCGCCAGAACTGTGGGACCACACGCTGCTGCTGTTCACGCCCCGCTGGTGGCACCTCCTTACAGCAGCCATAGCACCCAGACACAGGAGCTGTGCTCACCCATGCGGGCCCCTGACTGCTCCTGCGGTGTGGAGAGCAGTGGCCAGCACTGCGCTGACCCAGGAGCTCAGCCTCTGTCCTGAGGCCCATGCGGTAGAGTGCCTTGTGCTGGCCTCCTCCAGCTCAAGGGACACGTCCCCTCAGCACCTAGCCCCTTCCCTCTAGGTTGCTGGAAATCCCAGAATTCCTGCCCACACAGGCCTAAGCCTGCTTCTCAGATGGCAGGCCTCTCCCCGGGGTCTCCTTCCCCGGTGGACGACACCGCTGCATGCACACGTCAGGCTCAAGTGGTGGCTGTTTGTGGTAGGCAGCGGGCAGAGCTCGGACGTCAGGCTGGGGTTCTGACACGTCTCCAGGGGAGCCTCCGTGGTGCAGGGATGAGGAGTGGGCCAGCTGCAGCGGGAGCATCCATTTCTGCACTCAGCGTATTGCAGGTTAGTTTACCATTTCCTCTGATCCTCTCCTTTCCCGAGACCTCTAAGGAAGGATTAGTAGTGGTTCAAACACAGTTCCGATTTCCGTGGGAAGTGCCGCCCTGGTTTCTCCCGTTTGAGGTGAGAAATTCTTTCTCTCAGTGAAGGGCAGTCACGGAGGACAGGATGCGAAGTGCAAAGGTGGGCTGTGCCGTGATCCTCCGTTGGCTGCCCAGTGCTGTGCTCTGCCCGGGATATCACCCCCTTCCCACCAGTTCCTGCAGGAAGTGGCCGGTGGAGCTGCTGGCAGGAGACTGAAAGGCGGGAGGCCACTGGGGCCTTGCTCGACAACCCTCCCTGCTCAGGCGCTGCCTCTGGAGCCACACCTGCCCTGCAGCGCCCACGGGGTCCTCGCTCTGCTGGGATCCGGGCAGAGGCACACGAAGGTTTGCAGAATTCAACAGGCAGATTTTGTAAGCTCCTCCTTAAGGTACAAGGACATACACACACACACACACACTCTTACACACATACAGAGTGTATATTTTAATATAGAAATATGTTTTATTTCTTTGTTTGCTTTTGGCTAAATTGTGTCCCTGTCCCCACCAATTCATATGTTGAAGTCCTAACCCCTGTCCCTCAGAATGTGACTGTATTTCGAGATGGGGTCTTTTCAGAGGTAATCAAGTTTCAATAAGGTCACTAGAGTATGAGGTCCCTGATCCCATCTGATGGGTGCCCTCATAGAGGAGATTAGGACATACACAGGGAAGACCACTTGAAGACACAGGGAGAAGATGGCCTCTGGAGAACCCAACCCTGCTGACATCCCATTTCAGACTTCTGGTGGCCAGAACTGTGAGAAATAAATTTCCATTGTTGGCCAGCCTTGGTGGCTCACGCCTGTAATCCCAGAAACTTGTGAGGCTGAGGCAGGTGGATCACATGAGGTCAGGAGTTCGAGACCAGCCTGGCCAACATGGTGAAACACCGTCTCTACCAAAAAACACAAAAACTAGCCAAGCACGGTAGCTGTAGTCCCAGCTACTGGAGCCGGTAAGGTGGGAGAACCGCCTGAACCCAGGAGATGAGGGTTGCAGTGAGCTGAGGTCGCATGACTGCATTCCAGCCTGGGCAACAGAGTAAGACCCTGTCTCAAAATAAAATAATTTCCATTGTTTAAGTTGCCCAGGCTATAGTGTTTTGTTTGGGCAGCCCTGGCAGGCTGTAGATGGATGATATGGAGAGAGATGTGGAGAGATACTTATTTATTTAAGATATGTAAATTCTCTAAGTCACATGACTCTGCAAGTACATTTCTGGGGTCCTTCGCAGGGCCCTGAGAAAGGCCCATGAAGGTGAGGGGCCCTGACTCTCAAACCTCGCCAGCCTCACGGTGAATCTGCTGAGGGCAGGAACCCTGGTTTCTCCCATCATGCTCGGGCATGGGGTAGGGGCAGCTCCCTCACATGGCTGGTCTCTGGACACCTTGGCCCCTGGTCTGTTCCCTGACCCTTGCCTGCACCTCGCAGGAGGGAGCTCCAGATCCTGCAGGCCCCACCCAGGGCATTCTCACCCAAGGCCTGCCACCCTGCCTACCTCCTTACCAGTTTGGTGCCTGCTTCTCACGGGCTCCCACATTTGGAAATACCCAGGGTGGTGGGCATCGTCTCCACTTTCAACTGGACAGGCTACCTTCAGGGACGATGAGCCCAGCCCACTGAGAATCGCTCTGCTCCCAGGGGGACAGCAAGGCTGTCTGCAGGGAATGTAGTTTGGGGGCTCCCAGCTAGGGAGTGAGATGCTGGAGTCCTCACCTGCAAGCATTTCAAATGCACACCCTCACGGCTTCAGGGGTGACAGTGGTGGGAATTACCGCATTGTGCCTGTCAGACTGTGGGCTCTGAATCCCCGCCTGCAGCCAGTACAGGGAAGGGTGTGACGTGGGGCTGCCGGAGCTGTGTAGCTTCTTTTTTTTTTTTTTTTTTTGAGACAGAGTCTCACTCAGTTGCCCGGCTGGAGTGCAGTGATGCAATCTTGGCTCACTACAACCTCTGCCTCCTGGGTTTGAGGGATTTTCCTGCCTCAGCCTCCTGAGTAGCTGGAATTATAGGCGTGTGCCTCTATACCCAACCGATTTTTGTATTTTTGGTTGAGATGGGGTTTTACCACATTGGCAAGGCTGGTCTCAAACATCCTGCTGGGCCTCCCAAAGTGCTGAGATTACAGGTGTGAGCCACTGTGCCCAGCTAAGCTGGGTAGCTTCTGTCACTTTCTGAAAGCCCAGGGGTAGAAGCCTGGGCCCTTGGTCGGGTCTCTCTTTAGAATATGGGGATCGCATCATTAAGCAAAACCCAACTGTGGAATCGGGTTGCTTGTCTGCCCTGCTCCCTCCCACTTGCCCAAACACTGTGATGGGGGCTGAGCTGGGGTTCCACCACATAGGACCACAAATTGAGTGCTGCAAATGGCAAAAATATATTTGCACAGCTCTAGAGGCCGGACAGCAAGGTGTCGCAGGGCTGTGCTCCCTCAGAAGGCTGGGGGGACCTTCCCTCACTGCTCTCCTAGCTTCTGGTGTGGCCATAGTCCTACCTTCCTTGGCTTGAAGCTGCAGCACTTCGAGCTCTGCCTCAGTTGTCACATGATCGATGGTTAATTTTATGTCAACTTGACTGGGCAAGGGGATCCCCACATAGCTGGTAAATATGGTTTCTAGGTGTGTCTGTGAGTGCGTTTCTAGAAGAAGCTGGCACTTGAATTAGTTTTTTTGTTTGTTTTTTTGTTTTGTTTTGTTTTGTTTTGTTTTTTGTGACGGAGTTTCGCTCTTGTTACCCAGGCTGGAGTGCAATGGCGCGATCTCGGCTCACCGCAACCTCCGCCTCCTGGGTTCAGGCAATTCTCCTGCCTCAGCCTCCTGAGTAGCTGGGATTACAGGCACGCGCCACCATGCCCAGCTAATGTTTTGTATTTTTAGTAGAGATGGGGTTTCACCGTGTTGACCAGGATGGTCTCGATCTCTTGACCTCGTGATCCACCCGCCTCAGCCTCCCAAAGTGCTGGGATTACAGGCTTGAGTCACCGCGCCCGGCCCTGAATTAGTATAGCAGACTGATTAAAGAAGACTCACCCTCAGCAGTGTGGGTGAGCACTGTCCAATGTGAGGACCTGAAAAGGACAAAAATGTAGAAGAAGAATTTGCTTCTGTTTGAGCTGGGACAGCCATCTTCTCCTCCCCTCGGGCCTTGGACTCAGACTAATGACACCATGGCTGTCTTGTTTCTTCAGCATGCAGGCAACAGATCAACAGATCATGGGACTGCTCAGCCTCCACAATCACGTGAGTCAGCTCCTATAGTAACTCTTCTGTCATAAATGTATTGGTTCTGTGTATCTGGAGAACTCTAATGCACATGGCCTTCCTCATGTATCTGTGTCCAAATTTCCCTCTTCTTATAAGAACAGTGGCCATATTGGATTAGGGCCCACCCATACAACCTCATCTTAACTTGATTATATCTGTAATCAATTACATTCCTAAATAAGGCCATACTCACAGGTACCGGGGGTTAGGACTTCACCATAGCTTTTTTGGGGAAATAATTCGATTCATAACAAGTACAAATAATTGAATCCACTCTGGCTGGTTTAAGTAGAAATGAGATTTCTGAAGAGTTGTAGGATGGCCCACAGATCGGGCTTTCTGGGAACAATGGCAAGATCCCTGCCAGAACTGGTCTGAGCCCCAGAGCTGCTGTGGTTCTGCTGTAGCAGGAAGCTGACACAACCAGTGTGACCTCCAGAAATGTGTTGTCTGGTTTGCCAGGACCATATTTAGCAAAACGGTTGCCCCACCAGTCAGCCCCGGGTGCCCCGGCATGGCAGCCTCAGCCTCATCTCCCCTAGTGGCAAAGAGGGGCAGACCAAGGAAATCCTGAGTTCTAAGTGGGAATGACAGAATTCCCCTTGAGAGAACTATCGAAATGCAGAGAAGATATTCAAAAGATGGTGGGTGGCCCCAATGACGGATAACCATCGCCACAATTAACTCCAAGCTTGTCTCCCCGACTCCTGTTCACTACAGACACTGGGAATGCTTAGTGCCAACTTCTCCAAGCTTCACAGCAGCACTGGGCACGACTTGCTTCTGGCCAGTGAGATGTAGGTAGAATCTGACTCGGGAGCCTCTGAGAGTTTTGTTTTCATGATAAAAGACACAAACATCTTTGTAACTATCATTTCCCCGTTCTTACAGCTAGAACATGGCGTGATGTCTGGAGCTGTGGCAATCCTCTTGTGACCATGAGGGAAAGTCACAGAACTGCAGAAGTGCTGGCCCTGATACCACTGGGCTGCTGAAGTAATGCCAGCCACACCTACCTCCAGGATTCCTGTTATGGGAGAAAAATAAATCCCTATTGGTTCAAATCACCACACTTGTTGGAGTTTCTGCTGTGAAGCCAAAAGTGCTTCTAACTGATACATTATCCATCTACATATCTATCCTATAGTTAACAAAGTTTTTATTTATTTTTTAGAGATGGGGGCTCACTATGTTGCCCACCCTGTCTGGTCTCCAACTCCTGCATTCAAGTGATCCTCCTGCCTCGGCCTCCCAAAGTGCTGGGATTATACAGATGAGCCACACCTGGCCTAGGTTTTAAGCAAATGAATGATATGATTAAACTTGCTTTTTATAAAGAATTGGAGGAGGCTGGGCATGGCAGCTCATGCCTATAATCCCAGCACTTTGGGAGGCTGAGTTGGGCAGCTCACTTGAGGCCAGGAGTTCGAGACCAGTTTGGCCAACATGGCGAAATCCCATCTCTACTAAAAATACAAAAATTAGCCAGGTGTAGTTGGAGGCTGAGACATGCGAATCACTGGAACCCAGGAGGTGGAGGTTGCAGTGAGCTGAGATCACATCACTGCACTCCAGTCTGGGCAACAGAGTGAAACTACATCTCAAAAGGAAAAAAGCCTGTGATCCCAGCACTTTGGGAGGCTGAGGTGGGTGGATCACTTGAGGTCAGGAGTTTGATACCAGCCTGGCCGAAATGGTGAAACCCAGTCTCTACTAAAAATATAAAAATTAGTCGGGTGTGGTGGCAGGCGCCTGTAATCCCAGCTACTAGGGAGGCTAAGGCAGGAGAATCACTTAAACCCAGGAGGCAGAGTTTTTGGTGAGCCAGGATCATGCCACTGCACTCCAGCTTGGCACCTGG